CCTTGACATTGTTGGACCCAGGTGCATCTTAGTTTTTGTTGATATCCCCTGGATCCAAACATTTGGGACCTTTCCTCTATGGGCATCTCTTGGAAAGGCATATTTTGGAGATCAACAACACTGCCGAGATGATTTGTGGTGAGGAGGGCTCACCTCTCTTCCTTGTCTCAAAGGCCAAGAACCAGTTCTTGATGCACAGGGAGTTGTTTCTTGATTGGGTTTAAAAAGTTGCAAGCCTGTATATGTGTGCAAAACCATATGCACACATGATGTATATATATATATATATGCATCATATACATATCAGAAATATGGAATATCCCCAATCAGTCAGTGCTCAGGTTTTCCTTCGGCTCAGGGGAGTGGAGGAACGACCGTGACGCTTGGAAGATTCAGTTCCAAACTTGTAAAACTAATTCCAATCAAGGATGCAAAGGAGGACATGAATAATCTAAGGATGCAAAGGAGGTCATGGAAGATGCTGAAGGACGTTGGTTCAGCTTCAGTGCCCAGCCCACTACGGTGCTTCTCATTGAGAAGAAAACTGTGCCTGCACATCTCAGCGGATTGCCATGCATCGACTCACCTACTTTGCTATCAACAGTCTGGCGAGAGCTTGAGGACGCCGGCGAGGTCACTCGACTAAACTACTTGCTGAAAAAATGATCAACCCCTTGTTCAAATCTATGATCCAAACATTTAGGGGCCGGGAAACCGAATATCTGGCACAGGTGAAGCTTGCGATCACCCACCATACTGTTTCCGCCGGCGCAACGGGCACCGGCCCCGACTCCTTGGTGATCTCCACAGACAAGCCGCTGGCTTTTGTCCTTGACCAGCCCAAGCAGGACGGGAAAAAAAGGAAGAAGAAAGCCAAGAAGAATGCGCTGACTGCTACATCTTTTGGGGCAATGGTTAACGTCTCAAAGATGAAAGATGCCAGTCGGTTTGTGATTGGGTGGCGAGCAAGGTTCCCCAGCAAAAACAACAAGTGACAATTGAATGTTTGACTAGAAGAGATCAGCCTGATAAGCAGTTAAGCCTTGGTGATACTGAGGTTGGACACTAACAGCACCAGTGGAGTGAAAACTATTGTTCCAATCCGCCCAATAGCCTGTGTCGCTGGGGTCCTGGATTTGGGCGAGACGGTTGTCCGCATCTTTGGATAGCCTGAGCCTGGCGATGGCGATTGGGATTGTGATAGTTGGTATGGATAGCCATGGCAACCAAAAAATATCAAAACATGTTCAACATATGCGGGTAACATATGTGTATACCATTGATGCATATCAACTGTGACTGTGGACATTCCTCTCCTTTGTTCTGATTTTTGCCTTGGCCTGCCAACCGAGTTTTGAATTTTTGTCAGGATGCATCAGGTAAATCCTGTGCTGCAAGGAAGTCCGCGTGATGATGATGCTTTCACTGAATACCACCCAAAGACATGACATCAACTATATAATAGTAGTCCCAAATAAATCATGGCACACTATTGCTGTCAGAATATGTTTTGGGTTGCAGGGGTGGATTGACTTGGGACTTGGATCCCAACCAAACCGGAGCTTGTAGAAAAACATCAAAAAGATCACCTGGTGAAACTGGATGTTGATAATGGAAGGTGATTGCTCAACAATTTACTGTAATACCTTTTTGCATGGCCCATCCAGGATCAAGGACCGAACATCAAGTTGTGCCACTTAGCCGTATCTAAAAGCATCTTAAAGCCATGGCAAAAAAGGCTGTGCAGGATGATTCCGATGTGGAGTATGTCCCGGGTCCCACCAAAAAATCTCTCGCAGCTCCAGCTTCTTGATTGATATAAATGACATTAGATTACTACTTGCATTATGTTTCCAACCTTATAGAGTCCCTACTGGGTGTTTATAGCTGCAATGCTTCTATGATTCTGTGCTGTGCACTAAGGCTTTCAGTCTTGAACGGATGTTGAAGGAGAACGTGCAGACTGCAAGTCGCCCTGTTGGTTCCAGGGTTCCATCGTCCACCGCAGGAAGTTCCAGCAGTGCCAAACCTGCAACTAGAATGACTGAGTTCTCTCACAAAAGAATCGTTGAATGACTAATGGTCTTGGTTCCAATCTTGGTTCTCCAACATGTTGGATTTCGGGGGGCACACCTCAAGGCCATCATCCTCCTGCCGGTGGGGACACGGCTGTCAGCAGCCTCATTCTGCCAGATCGAGTCCAATCATCGGAGGAATCCTCGCCGGGGCAGGGGAAGGGTTCCAAAAAAGATAACAAGAAGCAACCAAAAAAGAACAAAAAAGAGTCTTCAAAGAAATTGAAGAAAGACAAGAAAGACAAGAAAAAGAAAGATGAAGATGAGACAGATGGGGACGATGATGACCATGATGCCTTCCCTGGTGACGATGATGATAACGATGATGGGTTTGATGACCTGGATGGGCTTGCAGATTTGTTTGGGGGGGATGATGAAAGTGGTGGGGGTAGTGGTGGCCCTGCCAAACGACCTGCCGCATCGAAGACAGCTCCCCGCAAGCGGCCAGCGGGGAAAAAACATGGTGACCTTGAACTTGATGAGGTCCCGAAGGCTTGGGGGTCACATGGGGTCACTATGTATGCAATCCATTGTTGGGTTTCAATCTTATACTTGCCGGTGTTTCAACTTCTGTGAGGCGTTGCCTTTCCAGCACATGATTGAAGGTGTTGAGGCTATGGCAATGGAGACAACGCCCCCTTGTGATGCTAGGCTGGTTTAGCTTATCCCATCCGCGCACATCAGTTCAACAAGCGATTGAGAAAACTTCACCAAGTCTTCCATTGCAACGTCGCTGGGCAGGAACTCTTCAGCGCCTACTGTGACTAAGTGGGATCCTTTGTTTGATTCTATGGATCAAGTGGTCCCTGAGAGCTCAGCAAACAGTGGCTACCCAACGCAGGACTATCTCTTGCCTGATCTTGATTTAGAGCTGCTGGAACAGAAAGAACAGTTTGAATTGCCAAACATGTGTCCAATCTCATTCCAACCATTGGTGCATTCTGGTGTGCTTGGTTCCCAAAAAGAACAACCAAACAAAACTAAGGCAGTGCCGGGAAGAAGCTGAGCTGTTTGGCGATGATGATGATGGGATGATGAAAGGTGATATGGGTAAACATGACGTGGACATGGAATCATGCGTGATGGGAACTTTGAAAGATCCCCTGTCGCCTGTTGAGTCCTATCACCCTGACAACCAGCTTGGTTTGATCACACCAGATCCTTGATCGCGCCAGAAAATGATTTTAAATTCCAGTCACAATTTGCCCAAAACCCTTGCCGTGAGCAGCCATGTAAGGACCCTCCCACAGGAACATCTTCTTCTGCATATCCCGATAACAGTGGGAATGTACGACCAGTACTTCAGCTGCACTCCATTCCGTGATTGTGATTTAAGTTTGAAGTCAACACTGGGTGGCCATACTGAACCCAGACTGCAGGAACTACATCGGCTGAATGCGCACGAGGATTTTGACTTGGTCCTGGAACCCAAGCAGCTGCAGTTCCAGGCCATATCATCAACCTCGGTTCAACTTAGATTCACACAGGCTCACAAACTTGAAGTGGACCCTTGTTGGGTTTGGAATCCTGTGAGGTTTGTTTGTGAACACAATTGTCTGTCAAATCGCCAGACTTTACACACAGCCAGGTTGATGAACTATCAGTACCAACTATGAGTGTGGAGGCGCTTTCTTTGGAGCGACCAGACTCAGTGACTGAGGCCAGCATGCAACCGCCAGTCCCAGAGGGGCCTTTTTTGGAGAACGCTGAGAACACCAGTATGGAACCAGCAGTGGATACTGAGCTGCAACCACCAGGGGAAGCTGACACTGAAGCAAACACCAGTGTTGCAAATCAGGTCTCTGTGGACAAAACCAGTCCAGGAGCAGCAGTTGCAGCTATCGCAACTCCAGCACGCAGTCGGAAACAAGCAGACAAGAGCAGTGCATCCAAGAAGAAAACTCCGCCAAAGAAAAGCAACACCTACCAGAGGCGTGCCAAGGATGATACTGAGAGGAAGTTGCATTCAGTAGCCTAGCTGAACCATGGTTAGAAGTGTTACCGTTGCGCCGCCGCTAGTGAACTAGTGAACTACTAAACAAGCTTGCCCAAACATCGCGCTCACAAAAACATCGCACTCAGGTATATTCCAATGCACACACGCATGCCAGAAAAGTTCTGCATCTATCGCCGAACTCCAGCAAGAACCATGCTGCTGCAGAACGCTTGAAGTGGCCCAGCTGCACTGCACTCATCTATTCTTTGCAGGTGTTTCACCATTGTGATTGTTTTAGTCAACCTTTTTCAAGACAAGGACATAGATAGAATATGATGTATAAAGCCGACTGCCCAACAATACCGCCAGGTGGGCACAAGATGAAGGTCAAAAGAACCATCCCGCTGTGAAGCGCATCTTGGGATCTTAGTGGACTAGTGAACTTCTGTGGACTTGATTGGCTACCTACCTTTCTCAACCCACCAAAGTTGGGTAGTTCTCAACCCACCGAAGTTCAGGGTAGTTCTCACCACCAAAGTTCAGGGTAGCCAGTTGAGCCTCCTGGGGAACTGCATCCAAGCCACAGTGCTTGGTGGGAAACTCACATGAGATAGAGCCGGCTGGCAAAAAATGGCTGCAGTGTGTGGAAGGAGCCAGTTCCACATTGGAAAAGCACCAGTTACAACTGGATGAGTCTTATAGCGGTTGTATTCGTGTGAGAATGCTGCTCTGAAACACTGAGTGGGATGGTGATCAAAGAAACAAAGCTGCCCAAAACACAAGAGTTTGGAACAGCACAAGTCCAAGTATGGTTTTGGGATGTGTGGGGTAAATCTTAGGGTGTTAAGATGATGTTAGGAACACAAGAGTTTGGAATCCAGTTCAGAACAACAAACACCCCCTACATGTATCGTGAAATACCTCTAAGATCCTCTAAGACTCTCTACGCGTTTCCCACTTCTCCAGGTCCGGCTGCCGGTCACCGGTGCCTTGCTGCTCCGATGCGATGCCTCGGTGTCCAAGCGCCGGCCCACCGACGCACGCGCTCGACCAGTGTGGTGCCCAGGGACGGCTGCGGGTCGTCGCCAGCTCCTTTCGGATGGCCTCAGAGGGTCCCAAATGCGGACTGCATGTGATACACCATGTGGTCAATGTGTGTGCGGAGACATCTGAACCCATCTTCTGAACCCATACCCTTTCCCATGCCCATGGACCCATGTATGACCGATGATGTCGTATAGATACGCCGACCCCTGAAATCAACCAACCCCAACTGGACGGTGCATATGCCTTTAAAAATGCCATACATCATCATATTCATACATCGGTCTCAGGGTCCACGGTCTACTGATTTGCCAGGCGAAAGAGATCGACAACAACGACTCAGAGCTCCGACTTCATTCGCTGCCGCCAGGCCATCGTACTCGACTCGGAGCTCCGCCTGATGGATCTGAGGTTCGGTCTGTGGCGGCCCTGCAGGTCACAGAGACCAAGTCGGGTCCACGGACGGACACGTGGACTTAGCGAAATCATGAACAGAACCGACATGAACCAACCCAGCAAGTCCAAAGGACGGGTTAAACTGGTGCGTTAGCGTAAAGGACGCATTTCACCTCCCAACTTTCAAGACATAATTTCCACAGGTATTTCACGGCCTTTCCAAGCTTCCAGCTCCCGTTCTGCTAAAGCACCGGTTAAACCGGTGCGTTACTAAAGAACTGGTTAAACTGGTGCGTTGACCCACTGGGCAACGACGTTTGGGGGAAGAAGGTTTAACATAGAGACCGCTGGTCAAACAAGCAGAGCCCACAGCTCCACGGAACAGCACCACGTGCTGAATCAGGCTTTCCACGTTCCGGCGGCTTACCCACACGTGTCCGGGCAGGGGGACCGTGAAACGAAGGACCTCGTACCGCCCGCCCGAGGGCCAGACATACTCACGCTCGTTGGCCCGGACACGTTCGCTCCTGGAACGGAGTGGCGAGTGGCGGGAGGTCAAGGGGATTGCGTGTCGATATCACGTGTCCCATGACACGATGGATTCGCGACAAAGTGCATGCATAGTGCATGCATTACGTGGCACAAACTGGCCTAATGTTCATGAGGCACCATGGGTTCTGGCAAATTTGTGACCTGTACGAAAATCACCAACTGTTGCCCATGGTGGCTGTTTGATGGATTGCCTGGGTTGGAGAAAGAACGAGAAAGTCAAATGAGAAAGGTCAAGTCCGAGAAGGTCAAATCATGTCAAATCCAAGAAAGAGGTCAAGTCCTCGTTGTCAAGGCAGTGTCAAGCTGGGCGAGCTTCTCATGGGCCTGGTTTTCGAAACCGAAGAAGGCTTCGCTACAAAGCCAAGCTCAGCAAAGCTCGATCAAAACGAAAAAGCTCAGCTTCCATGCCAGGGACACTCTTATGAACCACCAGGCAGTTTCCTCGTCACCCCTGACAACCTTCCTGACGATAGATTCTTGCTGCCACCATTGTGATACCTTGTCATACGTTGTCACCCTTCTCGCCTTCTCGGGTGTGTCCCTTGGAATGTTGTCTCCCAAGAACACAAACGTCGGCCTGTCGGCCTGTCTCCCTCGTTGCCGGCCTCGCGCAACTGTTGCCGCAGGCCTTCCGCTTCACCTGGACCGTTGGGGTTAAAGAAGTGGTCGGTGTTGGAAGGTAGCGTGGTCGGTACTCGAAATGCGATGAAACTCGTTTTGGCACTTTTTTTTTGCACGTTTGGATGTCTGTTTGGGGTTGCAGATTCACCTGTACCAGTTTGAAGCATCAAATAAATGAGTTTAGATGAACAACTGTGATGCGACTGAAAGCAACTTGAAGCACGGCCTTTACCAATTATGATTGTCAACCTTCAAGGACAATTGAATTGTTACCTTTCTTTTGGGACTGAGAAGCACCGCTGGAGAACAAGGTAAGGTCCTTCTGAATCTATGAGAGTCTCTGAAGTAAGCAACAACTTGACACGACTAAGCTTCCACACTAGCCGATTGTTCCTTTTCTGCTGCATATGAGGCCACCAGCTTCTTTTGCCGGTCCTTGCATGCATAGGGATACAAGGTGACTAGCGAATGGGTTGGACTCATATCCTCTGTTATAGTTGCTATAGAGACCAAGCTTGCAATACATGGATCAAATAACAACTAAAAGAGCACCTGATTGACATGTGCATGAATGTCACACATCCTGCTTTAGACAAATGCTTTGGGCAGGGGAAATCAGCACAAGACCTATAAATGAAACTCCCAGAAGCCTGGGTCCGAATAATCTCTTCTCACGTCAGTTCTTCATTGACTAGCCCTTTTGGTTTGCTGAGTCATCTCCAAATCAATCCGGCAGTCTCAGGTCAAATCCCATAAATAAAATCAACTCAAAATCACCAGCATTCCCCGAAGCTCGATGCCTTCAATCCTGAGATCCCGAGCTTTCCCTCGAATCGTTGAGCTTCTTTCATCATATTCGACGTCATCGTTGACCACTGACGATGGTACTTGAAGATTGCGAGGGTGCATCGAATGGCACTCAGTCTTCTTGCACCCGCACTGACGTAGCTAGAAACGTTACTCCCGAAAGGCTCAAAGGGTCATGTCCAAAGAAACCACCCGTCACGTGTGGACCCTCCCAAGCAACGCGAACCAGCTGGGTGTCCCCCGACCAAATCGTCGGAAGCCCGCTGCAACGCGGCCTCTGCGGTGGACCGGCGCTGTTGAGCCTGGTGGACCGGCACCGATGGAGGCGCGACGGACGGTCCAATCGACCGGGAGACCCCCGATCGCGGCGCCCAGGCGAACCGAACGCCTGGGATGATCTCCCCTATTTTGAGCCACACATGTGGCGCCATGGGTCAAACATTGGGACTGGCAGTTGACCAGCACGACGTCTGGCTGGTCGGCTGCTTTTGGCCCACAGCTGACATGTTTTCAGATGTTTTCTATACAATGGTCAATATACTCAGTGGGTCTACATCCCATGAATTCTTCTTCTAGTGAATACACCACGCGTTCCGGGAGTCCTTGGATTCCGAGGTCCTCCAAAAAAAGAACAGGCACGCCGCGACATCTTCCAGTCTCCCGTCTCGTCGCCTACTGGGATTCGTTGGGATCCTACTAGCGCCAGGTTTCACCGGCCGAACAACTCAAAGAGATCGGTTCAACTCAAAGAGATCGTCCAAGCTGTTCACCAAGAGAGACAACCTTTGAAACCTCACCTACAAACGGTCTCCCTATAGTTCTGTGTCCAAAGAAAGACTTTGTTGTGGTGTGTTGTAGTACATGTCTATATAGATATCGATAGGTTTACAAATGGACCACTAGGACCCCAGCCACTAGGACCCCAGCAGCACAACGCGCGAGCTCTGTCGTTTGCAGTCTTTGCTGCAGATCGTCCCGTTCCTGCGCAGTCGGTTCGTTTGTGGATTGGGGTGGCCCCCGGCCCATGTATGGGGCCCATGACAGGGAGCTGATGATAGGCCTGATGATACTATGTATAGCATCATAGATGGTACAATATCAATCAATTGATCAAGTCAACTCATCTTGGGAACCTGAGAATTGAATTGAAATCACGTAGCAAGGCGTCTCCCGCAGCATGGCCGCTAGCGCAGCAGAAGTGGGCGTCGTCCCTGACATTGGCGTCGCAGCAAAACAGCCGAAACAAATCCTTGAAGATCCTCTTCGACGCGTGCGACATGACGAAATGCTAAATGGAGGACGCACGGACGCAGCTCAGCTCGGACTGTATGCGATGGACGGTGCTCCGTGGGTTCCACGTTTTCGCGTCCAACGCACCGTTCCGCCCTCTCAAAGCAGCAGGAAGGACCCGGCGGCTGACCCAGTGGCGGATTGGGATTGCTTTGGCGGGGCCTTGGAGCTTTGTGGAGCTCATAAAAACTTGCAAAAAAGGAGTGGAATTCTATGATGATCAACGTCTATTCTTTTGTTTAACATGCAGCTTTTGCACATCGCACAGAATTCTAATTCCGCCATGACCACACATGCACACCGAGAATGAAATACAACATCTACAGTCTACAGCCACCAGTATGAATCTATATGGTGCTCTCATACAAACCACCCTTACGTTCAAACTCGTTTCCAACGGTCCAAACTCACTCGGTGAAAAGACCCTCGCCCTGATCGTGTCGATCATCTCCAGACCGTGTCTGGACAGTGTTTTCTTGTTAGTAGCAAGAATGCTACTAGTAGTAAGGCCAGGAGCCCCTAGCAGCGTCCTTGCTCCTAGTAATACGGCCAGGAGCCCCTAGTAGTGTTCTTGTTCCCAGGCCCTTTCTTACTAGTAGCGATGCCCTTGCTCCGTTCGTAGCTTCTTGTTACCGTGTCTGGACCGACCCAAATCTCGGGCGCCAGGGCGGTGAGACCGTCACAGGCTCCGCGCGTTCCTGTCTGCCAGGGACGGCCATGAGGAGAGTGACGCGCTGACAGCGGGGGTTTCATGCTAGATTTACAAGTACCCTCCATCCAACAAACATGGAAGTGGAACATGGCCCCTTGGAAGACGAATTCCTCCATGAACAGGCTGTATTCCACTTCCATGATCGTTTCAGGGAGGGTACACTAACTACAGTATACCCTTTCTGGACATATTGACATTGTTGTACTGTTCACAGCTTTTTTACTGCTGCTGAGCAACGGGTTCTGTCATGACATGTCATGACTATGATCCTGACTCCTGACTATACCTACACATGGGACACCGGAACGACTCGTCAGTCAAATCCCTCGACGTCCGCTGGGTCTCCCCGGCCTCGGCAGCACCTGGACGGCGTCCACGTTTCACGCCAAGAAGACCCTTTGGATGGTCCGTAGTTCTAAAATGAACAGCCTTCACCAAAGAACCGGGAAAGGGCATGGAATACAACGGAACACGGAAACTGAAAAAAGCGGTGTTCATTCACACCTTCGGTGTGTGTGAGCCTTGCTGTATTTACATGCATTTACAGTGGAGGGTCTGAGGTGCGGTTCGGTGCTTTTTGCAAAGACTTCGCCTTGGACACGTGGAGCGGTATGAGCATCAGCTGGAAAGTAGCCTGTTCATTCAGCAGAAAGCAGTGGGAACACAAGATTCTGACAGTACAATTTCACTTTCGAAGGAAGGATTCCTGCACCACTACCTCAGATTTCTTAGAGTACCTCCCACAGACGGTTGTTCAACATGATTTTGTTTCTCCCATTGTTCAACGGTAGGCAAGCGAGATCGACCATCGCACAGACCCAGTTGGACCCACGGAAATTTGGCCAAGGACGAGGCCATTCAGCTGGCCCAAATGTTGATGCAAACGTCCATTGGTCGTCAGCAACGAAGAAATCTCCTGCCTGGCACATGTCTTGGAACCACTGTGGTCTCGAATCCGAAGTGCAAACTGAAGAACGGAACTTCAGTCTTTCATGGACTTGCTCTGGCTCAAAGGTCAAGACCCCCACCATTTGATGAACATCTCCAAAAAACCGGCTGGCACATCTACACCCCGTGCTTTGGATTTGGGGGGGCGAGGGATCCAACATGTGCTGAGAATCGACAAATTTTCCGAACAATTTTCGAGGGGATCAACAAAAACAGCCTGAACCTTCCAACTACCAAAAAAATCTGATCGGTTTGGTTTTATGGTCGTTTTGGTCGTTGTATTTGTTTTGCGTTGGTCGTTGGAAGATCCAGGAGTGTACACAAAATATCAGTGCACTTGCGATCACTTTCATGGTGGGCTCAGCGGATTTCGTGGCAGGCAGGTGCAGCACTTGGCGGACTTCGAAATGCAGATTGCACGGCAGGCGCAGGACCTCACTTGTGCCAATTTCGTTGCTGCAAGGCCTTGCTGACTTCGATGTGTCGATTTTGTGGCCAGCACTTGGTCAACGATGTGACGAAGTTCGGTCAAGTTGCACTGCTCCACCGCTGGAGGCTCCACTGCTCTGCTGGCCTTTCACCCCCCACGATCGCCTCAGTGCGGCGATCTCCGCTCGATTCTCTTCAGCACGGGCACCAGGCACTGCGTCAGCGCCCGCAGCGGCCATACCAGTGCTTCCCGTGGCACCACCTGAGACGTGGCAGTGCCGTTTCAAGTTGGACGGCGCACATGGCTCTGATCTTTTTTGGGGTGGTTCATCAGTTCTATCGTTTTTCCCCTGCAAAGGACCAGGGGAATGATGGGGGAGAGATGATTCAACAGTCAGATTCGAGTGATCACCAAAAACATCCAAAAAATAAGCCTTCCTGGCCAAAGACATGTTGACAACATCATCAACGCAGCTTGTGCGGCCAGAAGACGGGTGGCGACCGTCACTTCTGTTCAGCAACCATGGCTGCGATCACAATGCAGGCATTGGCTTCCAAGGATGATGAGACTGTTTGGCACTACATTCCCCCAACCTGAGGCAGTTTCTTCTTGACCCGTCCGGGCTTTCTTTTGGACCAGCCAATTGTACCCAGGAAAAAATGGGGAGTACATGGGAGTACCTGTCTGTCTCTCATGACGAAGCTGAAAGGCCGTGACTCGAATGCACGACACGTTTACTCGTGCATTCTTCTTCATCTGCTGTGCTCAAATGCAAACGTTCCGGACATGTCCCTCACGTTCATGACTTGCATCTTGAAAATCAAGTAGTCCCGCAACAGCCACGTCACTATTATCCATGTTCTTTCAGATCTTTCAGAAATTCATCCTCGAAGCTGACCGATCTGGACATGGGCTTCCCGAATTCCTTGCAAATGGCTCTGGAAGGTCAACGGCGAGGTCCGAGTCAAAGGATGGCTATAGCGGACCATTTCAAGACCAGCTGGTGAAAGAACCCACAAGCAGATCTGTGAAGACCCTCTGGTTGATCCTTCTAATATAGACTCTTGACTCTTGATTACGTTTGAAATCCTCCAAGCTTGAAGAGGTGTAAATCCATGTCAAGGGGGTTGAAGTATCATCAAGAGTTACATTCATTCATTGACTCCATTTCTTTTGCCACGCTCAAGCAATGGAATGGAGCAATGGAGGCCTCTTCCTTGCAAGAGTTTGAGCAGAAAAAGATCTTCAACGACCTTTGCCTGGTGCTCGTGCGTCCTTTTTTCCCTGTGCTAAAGGGAGCTGGAGGTGCCAGTCATCAGCATTCTCTGATAGGAGGGGCACCAACCTCACTGCAAAATGTCTTCCACAATTCCACAAGACAAATCTGTAGGTTTCAAGAACAGTCTAAGGATCCAATAACATTAATTGCATGCGAAGCGGCGCCTTGTTGGCAAGAAACATCAAGAAAACTTCTTTTCGAGCGCCCACTGAACAAGTTTGGTGCCAGTGAACGGATCACTTCTGAGATGCAAACTCATGCGAACTTTGACCATATGCCTCAAGTGAAACCCCGGGTGCAATATCTATCGGTCGAGGGGCTGGGGCACTTCTATATGTTGTTGTTGACCAGGAACTTGCTGTAGAGGATTGCAAAAATTGCAGTTGTCAAGCATGGTGCAAGCAATTCATGCAACGAGGGGGGTCCAAATGTGCAACCTCGGCACCCACTCCAGAAGAGGGTCGACCACATAGTTGAGTGTTCTTTTCTTAAACTGGGGCGGCTTGTGCTCCCGGCCTTAGACTTTGGAAAGCTTGATAGATCGTCCCCCATGTCAACTATATCATACATATCGATCTATACATAATTAATTATACATGTATATTATATAAATATTTAATATGTGGTCCATATATCTACTATCATACTATCGTACATCATACATCCAACAGGTCTTGAGCTGCAACCCAATTGGCGATGCTTTCGTGTCGAGGCCACCGTCGTAGGTCTTCGCCTGTTCGCCCCAAAACACAGGCGAGACAGCTGGCAGCCAGGTGAGGCCAGTTTTAACGCTACGAGTACCAGTACTTTTAGCTTCTTGCTCCGTTCGTAGCGATGGCCTCCAACCTAATAGCGATGGCCTCCACCTAGTAGCGCCCTTACTCACCTGAAAGTTTGCAGTGACATTCCCTGAAATCATGGAAGTGAATGGCATGGATGAACATGGCTCCTTGGATGACCATGAATTCCGAATACCGATTCGCCGACAAAAACACCATCCCGTTTTCATCCGTTTTCGGGAGTGCAGATGTTCATTCACTTCTTTTGCGACCAGGATAAAACATTGAAACCAGCTTGGGATAACTAGTTCAACCCACATCCAAAGACCCGTCGGGACATTTTCATTGTGGATGGCGGAATGGCGTGAGGAGATGGCGCCGACAGACTCAGCCTCCTATAACACTGCTTGGAACAGCCCGACACCTCCTGTTGTGTGAGCCAACGTTCCGACAGCAGCTCGTTCCTGGGCACGAACTGTCTGACAGTTCCTGTGCACAGCTGCGCATTGGGTCGAACAGCTTGGCATCCACGGACCCTTACACAGCTGACCGTATACACACCTGACCTTACGGGCCACTGCGCCTTCAAAAAAATCAAACCCGCCATCTGTACCCGAACTCATCAAAATGGTCAGCTCTTCTTTCAATTGGCTCCGGGCGGTGTTGGAACGTGTTGCTCATAAGCATCCAAATCTGCACCCCAGTGGCCTAGGATGTGAAGCTAGCAAGCCCCTTAAAAATCATCTTCTTACAGCTTAGAAGTCACTAAAATCACTAAATAATATACAACAACTTAGAACTGTTCTGTCAACACACCTCAGATACCTCTCACATACCTGAGATCCAGGCTTGCAGTTTTGGTGAGCAAAGCAGCCGTCCTTGGATTCGCGATTTGTATCTTTTCGCGGAGAGGCAATTGTTGCTCCTCGCTTTCGCCGAGAGCCTGACAGTGGTTCTCGACCTCAGATTTCAGTGCATGGAGGGTATAGGGATAACAGGGGTGTGTGGATAGGGAGACACCCTGTGCCTGTTTTTTTCCCTGGAAGAGTAGCCTCGGTAGACGGACAATGTTCTGAATCTTCCAGGGGGTCCAACTGCTTAACCAGGCGGTCTCTCTATTTGAGCTACAGTTACACACTCATGTTTAAACCCTGATAGATTGAAGGTGACCAGTTGAAACAAGAGCGCAAAAGAAGTCGGGCCTGGGGATGTTCACACGTTTTCAATCGTTTTCAAACGTCCAGCTTGGGTGCTGAAACCTTTTGACCCAAAGCCCAGCGCCATGCTGCCCAGTGGCAACGGCGAGTCTCATCTAACACCTAGCATGACTCTTTAACAAAATAAACATGTGTGTGTGTGTTGCAAATGCCGCGAGGATCTTGAGATCTGTATACCGAGAACACCCTCAGTAATCTTATTCCGACATGCAGGTATGAAGCCAGCATCTCCACATATCTCCACGCAATCTGGCCTTGAGGCCACCAATTCCTCCAAAAGTCAATCGCTCCTCACTTGCTCCAAACAGAATTCATCAGAATTCACCCTATTCGCATCTACTCACCCACTATTCAGCCTCTATTTGTTGCACCGATCCGCTCCAACGTCCCCCCATCGCATCCCACCTGGGTGGACAACTCCCGGAGCGCTTCAGGCCGAGCATCCGACAAGAGCGACGCCTACGACGTCGGCGGCGGTGAGTGAGATGGAAAGCGATGTGCAAAAGAGAGGATGCTGAAGTGGAACATTGAATACATATGAATACATTGATTTCGATCTCCCCCTTCAGCACTTGCCAATGTTTTGTGGATTGACTTGGATTGACCAAATCACTCGCGGTTTGGGGAGTTGGTGGGATTTGATCATGCGTTCACACAGAGATAAAAGAATGTCTTTCTGAAATGTTTGGTCTGGGACGACCCGAAAACAACAAGGACAAGGACCCCAGAAATGGAGTCAAGTGCGAAAGCGGCACAAAACACTGGCTCGTCGTGGGCTTTAAGCTCAGCACCGTACATTCTGATCTTCTTTTTTCAGCAGGCTTGTTTGACAGTACCTGTCCTGGAGAAGTCTGTCCGGATGATGCCTGGGGACACCCCAGGTAGAGTGACAAGAAGCCGCCGCTGTTAGCGCCATTCAGTCAGGTCCGGTCCGTGCATTCACTCTCCAGGCCTCCAAGTGCATGCAAACTCCAAGAGCAGCAATCAGCCACCCTGGAAAAAAACAAAAAAGCATGTTCAAATCATACAGCAAACCACTACAGGTGTGGGAGCAACATGGACCACTAGCAACACTGCTTATTTAAGTGTTGTTCCTTCATGTTCTAGATTGGTGGTTGAAACAAAAACACTTTCCAAGTCAGACATAAGGACTCTCTATTCACGAATCTGATTCGTTTGATCGGAGTCTTCCCCAAAAACACCACGCAAGACTCCGCCGTTTGATCGGAGGTCAACGCCTCGGCGCGTCAGCAGCCGAGCGTACTGCAACCACTGCGCACCCGTTGTAGCACCCGTGACGGCCTGGCGACCACTGCGGGAGGAGATGCTGTCCGTGGCTTGGGCGGGTCTGTCCGAATGTCCAAAACGGTTTTGGAACAGGCTGACACTTCTTAGAGGAATTTAAACAGGAAAAAAAAGAAACGTATTTTGTGAGTGAAAAAAAACAGTGAAAACCACATATTTTGTAAAACTGAATGGCTAAAATCAGGACTCACCGTCTCGTCCAACAGTTTGGTGGTTTGTGTTCTTCAGAAGCAAACTGATGGCAAGAAGGTGGGGCCAAAAGAGGAAGTGCCCGGTCACGAGAGGTTGTCTGAGATGGTTTTTGGCTTCCACTTTCCCCTCATTGACATCCACTTTTGAAGCAAAGGCCATGGATGTTCCACCAAACCGACCTGCTCCCTCACTCGGCGCTGTTGATCTCGCATTCGCAAGCTCAGCAGGATTGCCTTGTGTGGTGTTTCGGCGCTTTCAGATCACGTGGGGTGGTGAAGTAAGTGAAGGATTTTCGACCCTGGTCAGTGAAGAACAACAAGATAATAAATTAGATCTGGAAATGAGTTCGGCCACTTGGCACAAGAGGTGTCTTCTTCCCGGTGTTTTAGCATGTGTTTCAAGTGTTTCCATGTCTGTCCTTTCTATATCAGCCACCCTTCTGCGGCGGCACTGCTTGCCTGGCCGCTGTTGGACAAGGTCCGCCTCCCGTGTTCAAACTGTTCCCTCCGCTCAGTCAATATTCGGATGCGCGCTCATCCGGTCGTTGGGGTCGTTGGAAGAATCGCAAGAAAGGAGTTCGGAGGACTGATGAGGAATGGTATATGAGTTTCAAGTCCATGATCATACCTGCATGTCGAATGGGCAAACACATCAAAAGACACACACAAAACACCGCTTCCAAGTCTGATTTTTCTTCGCCTGCTGGCATTGGAACCACCAAGTGCTGCTTCCAAACGCCGCCTTTGCTCATCTTCACCTCCTGCCACAACCCTCCACAAGGTCCGGCACAAAAGGATGGTCATTGCGATGCTTCGATGTTCAAAGAAATGGCGGTGGCCAAGTCATTGCCAAGCTCCTTTCCAGTTGCGAAACTCTCCTCTCCAGAGAACGCGAAACGAGAACTCTATCAGAACACTGACACTATCCCTATGCCGTTTTATCCCTGACCAAGCTTCACTCCCTCCTCGCTTTCTCCGGTGTCCCGAAAAAAACCACGTGACCACAAGGCCTGGCATGGATCTCGGTGGAATCTCCAACACCTTCGCCATCCCTGGCCAGCGCGAGGCGGGTTTACGACGAGCCTGGCTGTTTGCATGGGAACTGCAGGAATTGCTGGAACTGCATGGATGAGCCATTATACTCCATAGTATCTTAGTGTTTGTCGAGTTCATTAATTCATTGTCCTTGGTTCCGAATGACGAAGGATGGTCCATTCATAGCACCATTTGTCCAGGCTGCGGGCCCGCCGAGCTGCCCCCGTCCGTGCGTTGTGCCCGTTGAACGCCTAGTAGGCAATTGTGGTGCGGGTTGAGGACCAAAGCCTCGCCACGATGCGCGTATCGTTGCGTCACCGACATGTCCGTCCAAGAAAAGTCAGACGAGTCGTCGCGGCGCAGGACATCATGGTCGGATGGACAGCGGGCTTGGGGTGAAACGCCCACCGGTTTGGGGCCAAAGAAGTTCGGATTCCGGAACGCAAAGATCCACAACAATGCATTCGCAATCAACCGGTCATTGACAAAGATTGAAACAGGAATAAAGCCTCCCAGCCTGTCGAACCAAAGCTCCGGCGGCTTTCGACCTGTTACTGTTTGTTTACCAAAGCAGTCAAACTAGGGGACATATGAGGGTGACAGATAAGCAACGCAACATGAACGTGGTTTGCTTTAATTGGGAGTCCCTCGTCATTTTGCGACCGCCCCAAATGATGCAAAACAGGACATTGCAGTGACATTGCATTCTGGTCAACAAGCATCAGTGTGTGTGTGTGTGTGGAAAAAGGTGCTTAACTTCTTTGTGCAAATTGCATTCAACAATCTTCTCAGTCATGTCACTACCAGAAACTCAAGAAGCAGCTCACTTGGCAATCCACATGTCCAGCGACGGATGCGAGAGCACCTGAACTGGATGTGCCATGTGGTGCTGAACTGGAGACGCCACAGCATCAATGTCCATGCTTTTCCAAATACCCACGACCAGCTTTGAAGGCAGTTAACTGGAAGCCAGGACAACAGCACATCCCGGTGTTTTCTCACCCCCGAAACAGGTCGAGTCGTCATCCTGTCCCCGCGGTTTCGACACGACCCCCTGAGGCGTTGGCAATGCCCAAACGGATCCAATGCCTTTGACCAGAACAACATGATCCCATTGAACAAGAAACAGCAGAACTTCTCCCCAAAAAGTGGCGAGTTGTTTCAGTGTTCAAAGCTTTTTGTCTCATGAACAGATGTGAGGCGCCTGCTCGGCCCGATTCGGCCCGGATGCTGCAAAAGAGAAGCGGGACGCACGGCCACTGGGCCACGTGCTCCAGGAAGAGAGGAGCAGCCCAAACAGCTGCCCGAGCCACGCGCACGGCCTGAGCCGAGCCACACGGAACGGGCCATTCCGTGCGAGCCAAATCAGCCTGGAGGAAGTTGGATCAATGCCCCGTCGCACCACTCAAGTTGTCTTTGTTTGGTGTCTCACCAAACCACAGAACTTCAGCTGTTTGCTTCTCCTTTCGGTCTGTCAACTGTTTCTTGTTCTCATGGTCTCTCCAGAATTCTACTGAAGGATGTTTTTTCAACATGTCAACCTCTGCAAGCGCCGATCAGACGTGGTCTCAGACCCGTGCATCCCAAAAGAGCTCGTGCCTGTGCAAACACAAACCGACTCGAAACTCGACATCCCCACTCCTTCATGAAGTCATAATTGGCCTTTCTCCACAGTCTCTCACGGCACGCCCGAAGCAACAGCCCTTCCGCCCTTCTCCTTGTGCCACCCCGAACAGCCAACACGCGTGCACCGCGCGGAACGCGCGTTCCGCGCGGGGCGATCGAAGCTGTTTTTTGTTTCGACCTTCATAAGATCATCGACCCGGTTGGGTCCTGCCAATCATCGAATTCCAATTCCTTTGCCCCCCTTCTGCGCCCGGTTCAGAGAGTTCACGTAGCCCATAAAGAGTCCTGGACATCGCGGCTGCTGAAGTTGTCTCGCGCAGGGACTCAGGTTGAGCGAGGTTTTGCAAGAACACCTGTTGAGCAAACGGTCATAAATCATAAACGGAAAAGAAAACGATTTGTTGGCCCGTTTTTGTTCGTAGATGGTAGTAGGTTGGAGCCATCGTCGCTACTAGGGGTGGAGGTCATCGCTACTAGGGTGGAGGCCATCGCTAGTAACTGTAATAGTATACAGTTTGCAGTATATATCTAACTCCGCAAATAACTCCGCTGCATTCTTGAGGACCTCAGGATGGGAACCCAAAACACAGCTGGGAACTGGAAATACCCGGCAGGAACCCAAAAACCGTTTCTGGGAACCCAAAAAAAAGGTTCCAGGAAAAGAAGCACCACGGGAACCAGAAACACCATTCCGGGAACTGGAAACACCCAACCCACTTTTTCAAGACCCATGCTGCCAGGAATCCGCTCACATTGGCTGTGCCTGGGATCTGGTGGATGGAACCAAGTGACTCCAGTCGACTGTGAGGTCAGTCGACCCCTTTGACTGGTGAGTTACACTCCATTTTGCAGGCTGGAAGGACAGGTGACATGTTCCTGGAGCCCGGCAAAACAGGTCGACCTGGACCTTGATGCCGTTCTTTTAGCGTGATTCCTCACCATCCATCCAGAGTGATGCACCGAACCACACCGTCGAAGAGATGAGGCACTGAGGCACCATGAGACTGTGTGGTTTCCATCAGAACGGTTCCCTCTTCATCCTCTCAAACATTCTCAAACATTCTCAAACACACTGCCTGCGACTTCCTTTTCGTATGTGACAGTAGATGTCTCATCCTTCCCCCCTATCACTCCCTGACATGTTTCTGGTCCCTTAACTGGCACCCCCCATAGCCCCACCCCGAATCATCCCAACCAGTGGGCCCGCTCGTTCGGAAGAAGACGCCCGTTGCGAAAAAGGCCGCCCCGTTCGTGTACTCAGCGCCCCCGAAGCCCCCGAAGCGCGCCTGGCTTCGGCCGGAAGTTCTCGATCGCCTCCTTTTGGATCTCCGGCGTCTGGCGATCAGCGCGGGCGGAGCGCGGACCGGACCGGAGGACAGGACCGGGGACCGGACCGCGGGGGGCTTGATGACATGTTGGGATGCGTTCAAGGCATAGTAAAGATCTTATCTGCAGAAGTACAACATAGTCCTCTAGTCCCCTATGACAATTCATTTGAGAAACGGACACAAGCGCACATGAAGCCTAGATCTTTCACAGCTGGCCTAGAAAATCTTTCATGATCTTTCTCAACTCTCAACAAGCATGAGTTCATCTATAGGCCACCCAAGAAGCTCCGTTATTGCGGACCCCCCCGCACGGCGCCTGAGTGACCAAATAATCTGCGCAAGCCTGGTCAAGCTGCCACAAGTTGATGAAGTCCAGCAGCTCCTGCCATTCGGTTTCGGTCTTGGTGTCAGTTTTGGAGACAGCCTGATCAGGCAGCAAAAGGCCAGGGAATAATAAGCGAGTGCCGTGGGTTTGGCCCACGAAGTCTTGATGCAGTGGTCTAGAGTCATGGTGTGTCAAAGAACACATTGAAAGATCTGCGAGCTGAGATCTATAATTACTCACTCTACAAATATCCCTACAAGAAAACCAGATTCTAATTGTATCCCAACTGCCACAAATGGGACAGAAAACATCAGAAAACCCTTCCCCTGTGTTGGGTTATCTGTACAGATTCTGTACACACTTCCGTGAAAACTCCCTTGCGTTGCTCGTCCTGCTGCGTTGGCCCCCCCACAGCACCGCCCAGCCCAGCCAAAGCTGGCAAGGGACTGGCCATGCCTGGACAGGTCTTTTTTCGTTAAAACAAGGGCACCAACAGCCATGGCCATGGCCCCCAATTTTGAGTGGATCCTTTTCAAGATGTACTGTTTTTTCATCCTATAGATCAACCGGATAAGACACCCAGAAACGCTAAAAACCAGTCTTTTCCCACGTTGCAATGGAACGTTGTCCACCTCATCTGGCCCGAGTGGGCAGGATGAAACCAGTGACCGATGTGGATGTCTCTTTGTGCTCTCCCACCGGTGGAGTGGTTGTTACTTCGAGACGAGAAGGACTCAGTGGGAACGACGTCATCAAAACACATCGCAGTCTCATGAACCAGCAAACATGGGATGTTTAATGCTGGGTTTGCAGCTGGTCCCGATGGTTCAGAGGATGTTGCCGTCTTGCCTTCTACCAGGCAAGCCTGGAAACTTCCAGGTTGAAAGCAGCTATTCCTTTGCACTACACCAGCAACGACAACATAGGCAATGTATTGCAGTCCGTTTTGAAGATTGGACACGAACGACTCTCTGCTACCAAAGGCATTGCACAACACCATCACACAGGAGTCTGTGCCCGTCCAAGGTCAGGGGCATCACGGCACGGTTCACCCGAAATTCTCCACGGTGATGCCGCCTATCGCTGAGGCCATTGGTGCAACCTGCCTTACATCGGTTGACGACGACGTCCTTTGCAAAGAAAACATCCTACAAGCAAGTAACAAAAATAATATACCTACAAAGTCGTGCAGTCCATCAGAAAAGAACATAGTATCAGGAACAGGCAGCTAGAATTCAACATACGTATTACTAAAATGAAAGAAAAACAAAAAATTTTGGTGCCGAGTGCTGCAATATGTCAGGAGGAAGAACGCTTTTTCGTCTTAACGAGTCTCATAACATCTATATAACATCTATGTGTGCGGCGGCATTCATTTGGTACTAAACTCAATTACACTTTCTTACACTATCTATTATGTGGGGGCCTTATCTCGTTTAGACTACTTAAGTAGGAGGTCATGTCACAGTATCTCGTTCAAACTACTTTAGTAGCAAATCACACTATCTCGTTCAAACTACTTTAGTGTCATCAAGCTCTTGTGGGGGCCCTACCTCGTTTACAAGCGAATACTGAAGACAAACGAACAACTCGAGCATGCCGTAGACTACTTTATGTGGATCAGCCGCAGTCGAATTAAGAAGTCCGTTTTGTGTGTCCAGTATTGGACGGTCAAAAATCACCCTCTTTTGAACCTATAACAATAAAACAGCTTTGGAGGGAGGAAATTTGACCGTGTGAGGCAACATAAGCGTCTTGCAGGATTCTAAGGGGAAAGGGCATTTGGAACCTTTCAAGAAGAAACACCTTTGTCCTAGTGCTGTGTATAATAGACACAATTATCATAATTACATGTGCTATCTGTTCGTTGCTGTTGATGTTGTGCTTAAACTGCAGTTAGATTTACCCCGGAGCAACGACACCAACATGGATCTGCGACTGTGTTTTTGTTGCACGGTGTAATGGGCCAGCTGTTGTTGTTGTTGCTGCTGCTGATGTTGCTGGTGGTGGTGGTCCTGACTGACTGGTGTTTTCTGTGTCATTGTGGTGTCCACCTGTGTTTTTCTGGCGACTCTGTGCCAACAGCCATCTTCTTTGCAATCGGCGCCATGGATGAAGCCGGTCCATGGGAGGTCCATGGCGGGAATCAAGGGGTCGACCGGTCGCAGCATGGCACCACGGCACGGCCCTGCCAAGCAATGGATGCGGCAGAAAGAGACACGTCTCAAAAAGGAAGCGCGCCAGGCTGAATGATCGAGACGCACACATGGGCGGGAAGCACAAGAGGGGCATGAGAGGGCCATGGACGGAAGCACAAGGGTGAATGAACAGGAACAAATGAAGGGGAACCCGACGAAGGCACGCGAACGCCTGAGATGTTTCGACAACAAACACCCTGGAAATTCCTTGTGCTTCCAAGAGGGCATGCGTTTGTGTCTCATGCATCTGTTTCGGCAACACTGTTTGGAAAGAAGGACGTGCGATGCACGTCACAACAGCTTTCAGTTGTGGCCTTCCGCACTTCCGGCGCTCGGCACGTCGCAAGGCATGTCTTTTCTTCAGCTCCATGTCAAGGCATTTACACGCGCCAGGCACGTTGGAGTCCACATGCGTTAATGGACTGTCATGCACACGAATGTGTTGGAGAAGACGTGCGATCCGCCGTGAAGGACTTAAGTGGGCGAGGAGCTGGATTTGGTGAATCCTGAACTGTTTGGGTGTAAATCATGCACAAAAACACCTGAAATCCGTCACCCAAGATATCCCAAGACTGAGATTTAAAACACACATCAATCCGTGTTGACTGTTTTTGAAAGAAAACCTGTTTCATCATTGTGTTTTGCGTGTCATCTTCTTTGAGGCGGTCTTGAACTAGTACGTTGCTGGATTTTGCATCATAACTTGTGACATATTCTGGGTTTGCATTGTCTTTTGATGTAAGCATTCGCAATGATCCTTCCAAAAAGTACAGTATTGGTTTTATATAAATGTCCTTCATTATTGATGTTTGAAGACTGTGTTTTCATTGCACGTCCCCACTACAAACAAGGATCATTGACATCATTGACCAATCATTCTACAGCAAACCACCGTAAGAGGGCTCCGCAAAAGCATAGAAGGGGGCCTGAATCTAGTTTTGAGGCTCTTGGGTATGATGCGCAGGTCTTGTCAAGGTCTTCCAGCTGTTGCACTACTGCATCAGTATCTGTCTGTTTCCTTAAAAAAAGCTCATATGGGTAGTGGTCTGGTGGGGGTGGTAATCGTCATGGTCTGGCCATTCCCACATATACCGGACGTGTTCGTCCAGGGTTTCAGACTTA